ATTAATTCATTTTAAATTAAAAGTTAAAAATTATTTTTTAATTCAAAAATTTACATCTTTTAAAAAAATATCACAATTATTACTCAATAATTAGTACCCTTTATCGTATATTCTTAGAGCATAGAATACATAAATCTTTATAAAATTTATGAGGACTTATTTAATAATAAATTTTCTCTAGGGGTAAGATTAATAACTTTATAGAACCTTAGGGAGTATCATGATATGTTTTCCTTATCCACGAAAATCGTTTTTCTATTCCTCATCCTAGCACACTACCTTGCGTCAGGGGTTTGATCACCGTCGATCCAGAATCAACGGCCGTAACGCTCAGGACGACCCCATCATCTAAATATGCTTTTCTTTGTCCATATTTAGCGTCCAAAAAACGAAAAATTCGTGCCGCTCGAAACAATCAACCGTTAAAGGACTCATCTCGGGGAAATCGACGGCTGTGATTTAAAGTAGCCGAACAATAACCGAATTTATATTTTTTTTATTATTTGCTTAGCTGGGACCCACCGCACTTACCAAAGGCGACAGGTTGCTTTTGCGTCGGTATCAGTTACACCACCTTATATTCTCTCAGCTTTCTCCATTTTCGCCAACTTTTTCTTTTTTCTCTGCTTTCGCGACTGCGAGTCCCTTCGGTGAGTGCTGTTTGATTTTTTTTCTTTTTTTTTTTGGTTTTCTTTTCAGAATTTTTTTTTTCGATCGGCTTGTTTGGATGCTGTCGTTTTTCCGATCAGATTCTGTTCTTCATTTTCCGGGAAAATTAAGGTTTAATCGTGATTCTGGCTGTTAATATATCTGTAATGACGAGTTACTTTTCGTTTCCCGATGATTTCATGATGCTCTTTTCTTTTTTTTTTTTTGGAGAATTTTCCAGGCGTAGATGGTTTAATGATAGTTGATGCAGTTTTTCTCGTGAAAATTTTGAGTTCAGTGTTATTTTTTCCTTTTTTTCTGCTTGTTTCGTGAGAAAATGAGGACTCTATTTGACCGAGCTGAATATCGAGTCAGATTTAATAAGCTGATAAATTAGTTTTAAATGTTAAAATATGACCTGTGTTTCATGTTAATATGGTTTATGATTCTGTTTAAGTATAATTAGGACTTTTCTAAATTCTAAAGCTCTGTTTAAGCATTTTAAATAATGGGGATATATGTCTTAATTCACAGGTTAACATGGGAAAGACCTTCAAAGCTCTGCTGTTGTCTTTGTTCCTTTTATGTCTGCTGTTTTCTGATGTGTCTTCTGGGTCCAATGATAAGCTGGTTAGAATTGGATTGAAGAAGTTGAAATTGGATCAAAATAGCCGGCTTGCTGCACGGCTTGAGTCTCAGGAGAGGGAGGGTCTCAGGGATTTTCTGAAGAAATATCGTTTCCGTAATTATCTTGGGGACTCTGAGGATACTGATATTGTAGCACTTAAGAATTACATGGATGCTCAGTACTTTGGTGAGATTGGTGTTGGAACTCCCCAACAAAAGTTCACTGTGATTTTTGACACCGGCAGTTCCAATCTTTGGGTGCCTTCTTCAAAGTGCTATTTCTCGGTGAGCCTCTCTGTGCTTGTGTGCAAGTCTTTGTGTTATAACCAAGACATGAAAATATAAGGGAAGAAGTAATTGAAGGCAATATGTTAATGGTATTGCATTGTATTGCAGGTTGCATGTTTCTTTCATTCTAAATACAAGGCAAGCGAGTCAAGCACCTACAAGAAGAATGGTTTGTTGTCTTTTCTTAGTTTGTACTATTATTCATTTCATTTTGATTTTTAGCATAAGAAGGTTTCAGCTTGTTGACTTGATGATGAATTTGGTGACATTTCAGTTTACGAGGTGTTTTCTTTTTAATAATAGTACTAGCTCTCTGTTAGAAAATTCTTTTTGTGAAGTATGCTCAACTTGATCAAATTTTTGTTTTGTGGGGTGTGGTAATTCTATAGTTAGATCTATATCCTGGAATTAATATTCTAAGTGTAGCTTGAAAGCACTATTGTATAATCTGTTTTTTTAGGGCAATCTGCATCTATCCAATACGGTACTGGAGCTATATCTGGTTTCTTTAGCTATGACAATGTTGCAGTTGGTGACTTGGTTGTGAAGGATCAGGTGAGCTAGAAAGCCAATTCTTTTCTACTTGGTTTGCCAATGGTCCGGTCTAATTAGAGTACTTTTTACTAAATAATTAATATTGTTGTTGCTTTTGTTCTTATGACTTTTGTTTTACCCCTTAATTCATTATCAGGAATTCATTGAGGCAACTAGAGAGCCAGGTCTTACATTTTTGGCTGCAAAATTTGATGGTATTTTAGGACTTGGGTTTCAAGAGATTTCAGTTGGTAATTCTGTCCCACTGTGGTACGTGTGGTGATCAGCAATATTGAGGACTACTTTCTTTGAGGTTATGCAATATTCTATACTTAAGAAGAGGCACTTTGGTTGTGCTACAGGTACAATATGATGAAACAAGGTCTCATCAGGGAACCAGTGTTTTCATTTTGGCTTAACCGCAATACAGAGGAAGAAGAAGGTGGTGAAATTGTGTTTGGTGGGGTTGATCCAAGCCACTACAAGGGCCAGCACACATATGTTCCTGTGACCCAGAAAGGCTATTGGCAGGTTCACTTTCAAACTTCTGTTAGTTTTCTGGATAAATGTTTGATATTTATTTTTCAATCACTACACATTGTCTTAATTTGTCTTTTTTGATAGTTTGACATGGGTGATGTCCTTATTGGTGACAAACCTACTGGTAAGTTCCTTATAATGCCTGGAGTCCTCTTGAAAGATATGTAAGGGGAGGAATTAAGCTCTCTAATTACACAAGAATATATATATATATGCAGCAAAGGTGTTAAATTTATGCTGCTGGGAACTTCCTATTTCTGAGTCTTGCATGTTGCTATTCAGGGTACTGTTCTGGAGGTTGTGCAGCAATTGCAGACTCTGGAACATCCTTGCTGGCAGGTCCAACGGTAAGTCTAATTCACAGTTTTATCTCTTGATAAGTCTGTTATTATGCAGGATTTCAAGTTGATTTTTAACCATATTGTCTGTTTTTTTCGGTTGTGGAAAAAAAATCACAATGATATTATAACCATCAACTATGTTTTAGTAATGTATAAGGATGATAGGAAAATGCCTTATTGGAATGAAAATTTAGCCATGTTGTAGTAGTCTTCTCAATTCTGTTTCTGTAATCTTTAGATGCAAATACCTGAACAGTTGAATGTAAATAATATCTTCAAGGTTTTATACTCCATTGTCCTTGTCTATTTAATTTTCTATTTACCAAAAAATTGTCTCTAATTTTTGTACCACATAACTGGAAACATGATGAACTAACAAGTTCTTAGATACAATTCTCTTGTTTCTAAATGAACTCGATGCTAGCAGTTTTCCATTGCTGTATTATCTATTAAAATGGTTAGCTGTGGTGTGATTATTTTCCTTCTGTAATGCAGACTATTATTACCATGATAAACCAAGCAATCGGAGCCTCTGGAGTTGTTAGCCAAGAGTGCAAGGCTGTTGTTCAACAATATGGGCAGACCATTATTGATTTACTTTTAGCTGAGGTAAATGCTAGATTTAATTATTGTTTTAAACTACCAACATAATCTGAAGATGAGGCATATTTATCTTTTACAAATCAATGGGAACATAACTTCTTGATTTTTATAGTTAGATTTAATTCTGAATTGATTAATTGATTCCTATTATTCTAATAGGCACCACCCAAAAAGGTCTGCTCCCAAATTGGATTGTGCACTTTTGATGGAACTCGTGGTGTTAGGTCAGGCTCTGAAAATGTGCTCTTGCACTTGCCTTATTGCTTTATATGTTTGGGGAATGAAATGTCATAACTGTGGCTGAAATTGATCTTCAGGATTTTATATTGTTAAACTGATAAATTCTTGTGTGTATCTTTGGAATAGCATGGGCATTGAGAGTGTTGTTGATGAGACGAAAGGTAAATCATCTGGTATTCTCCAAGATGCCATGTGCTCTGCTTGTGAGATGGCCGTTGCATGGATGCAGAACCAACTAAGTCAGAATCTGACTCAAGATCGTATATTGAATTATGTCAATGAGGTGAGATAGAGATGATATTTATCTAATGATTTGTCAATATACTTCTATTGTAATACTAACACCAATATATGCTTCTTGGGCAGCTCTGCGAGAAAATGCCAAGCCCAATGGGAGAATCAGCTGTTGACTGTGGAAGTCTTTCATCCATGCCTATTGTTTCCTTCACTATTGGGGGCAAGGTTTTCAACCTCTCACCAGAAGAGGTATGTCATCCTCTCTTTTTCCTCATTGTTATAAATTAAAGTTATTTTCAACAATTTTTTTTTCAATGTTTAATTATTACCAACAAATATTACTTCATCAAACTTAAAAGCATGTATCCACAAGAAACCTTGCACTACTGTAGACTTGTTGCAGTACTGATGTTTTTTCCTTGGTTGCTTTAATCAGTACATTCTCAAGGTCGGTGAGGGTCCTCAAGCTCAATGCATTAGTGGCTTCACTGCTATTGATATTCCTCCTCCTCGTGGACCACTCTGGTAATTCATGCCTTCCTTTCCATTTTCCCTTCCCTGTTTTATTCTACTATCAAGTACCATGATTTCCATTTGTTCTTACTAAAATTTGTATGGTGCAGGATTCTGGGAGATATCTTCATGGGTCCCTACCACACGGTCTTTGATTATGGTAATCTCAGAGTTGGCTTTGCCGAGGCAGCATAAGGACTTGGTGCAACAATCCTGGTTAAGAACATGTCTTTATCTAGTATTAAGCTATATATGGTCTTATAAAGATGATGAGCTTTCTAGTGAAACACAAGGTACTACTGGCGTCGGCCAGAAACAATTCCATTCCATGTTGCTTGTAAATATCTTGGTGCTTGGTCTGTTACTTCCCTCAAACTTGGGTTCATTATGTAAAAATTAAGATTTACATTACTCGAGTTGTGAAAGAATGTTGTTGCTGCCTTGCCCCCTTACAAAAAATGTGCTCGGTATTGGATGTCCTTTTCTTTTCTTTTTGGTTGGTTCCACACCAATCTTTCTTCTACGTGTAAAAATGGTGTGGACCAAGAAAACGAAAGGAGGTCGAATTCTCAGTCTCTTTTTTTTTTTTTAGGGTGGCGTGCCAATCATGTAATTTAATTTAGCTAAACTCTTATTGTATATGTCGTATGTATGAAAAAGAAAAAAGGCTATGTGGGGGTGGAAAACACAACGATGAATAATCATTCCCTGTTCCTGAGACCGAAAGCTAACAACAAATATAACTAACTGATTTTACTTAGAAGGGAGGCATCAAGAGACCTCATGTGGTGTCCATGCCTAGTCTCATAGGGGTCCATCTACAAGTCCAAAAAGATAGAGATGAAAGTCCTAACCAACTTTGGATCTTTAAGGAACGGGAAGGGTGGGTTTGAGAACGTGTGCTGTAGAGGTATCTTTGGTTTAATTTTGTATGTGCCTTTCCCCTTTCCAACCGTCCTCTTCCCAACACCTCCTTAGCTTTCCAATTCCAAACTCTATCAAAGAAAGTTGGGTTGTTCTTCCCCCTTTCCAAGTTTGGTTTCTGTCTACTAAACTTTCACCTATAATGCAATAATTCCAAGAGCACCTTCAATGACTTTTGAGAAGTCTCCCTCAAATGACACCTCTTTCCCACCGTATTAATTATTAGGATTAGTAATTATCTACTTTGCTTCCTAAATATTAGGAGGAAAATTATTTCAAGAATACATAGTTTTAATAAAACATTACAGAAAAAGATAAAAGACATTTTAATTTATGTTTTAAAAATAATGTATTTTAGTTTTTTTCAATGAAAATTTATTAAAATAACGTAATTTTAAAATAATTTTCATCTTAATATTTAAGAACTAAGGCGGATAGATTCTATTCCCTTAATTATTTTATTCAATTTACAAGTTTAGATGAAATTTTTTAAAAACCATACTAACAATAGTGAATTCAACTCACATTATTTTATTAAAAAATATTATATAATTTAAACTATGTAATACAAATTATTGAATAAATGTGAGTCTCTAAATATTATGAGTCATCTTTTTATTTAATAATTTTTATTTTACAGTTTAATATAATTTAAATTATAAAATAAAATTTTTTATTATATTCACACTATTATTTTATTAAATTCACGTTATTCAACTTCTAAAGGTGAATAAAAATTTACACAAGACGATCATCTGCCAAGACCCACTCTATTATAAATAGGAGTAAGACTCTTATGAACTTTTGTTTTCGAAACTCAAGACTTTTATGGGTGATACTCTAATTTTACCCAATTATAAACGTTTAGATATCCATCAATCACATCGTTCTCATATTTCTTGATCACATTCATGGTATTGACATTCGCGCTAACATTTTAATTTATTTTATTAAATTTAACAATAAATAACTGTTTTCGATTTGAAAAATTATTCTCTTAAATCACAAATTAGTCAAAATATTCATTAATTTAAATTAATACATGTAAAACTAATCAATGATTTGTTAATACGAATTAAAATTGTTCAATTAATTTTAATAAAAATATTAAACTCAAATCTTATAAATGAAAAAATAAGTATTAAAAAAATACAATATAACTTTTTATTTTGACAGGGCAAATGGTTAGAAGTTATGTTAGTATCTGTTCTTAATAAAGTTCGATCACTTATTAGGGGTGTAATTCATCAACAATTTATTAAGCTGCAGTGATTACTAACGGGTCATAACAGGGGAATGCAAATACAATATAACTTTTAAATTCCATAAGTTAAATAACAAAACAAACTTTCTACTCCTTTTTATAAAATCATATATACTATTCGACACCGGTAGCAAATTTTATGATTTTTTTTTAAATATTAGAGAATTTAAAAGATAAAGATATTTTTTCAAGACTTCAGTAAAAGTCAAACCTCAACAATCAATTACCAAACACTAAAAGTTCAGTAGCAAATTTTATAATTGCAAAGGTAAGATTGGAATATACCATAAAATGAGACTACCATCCATTGAATTAGGTAAGGGTTCGCGACACCTTAGGATCACCCGTTTCCAACATGCTACCGCACCCTACGGCTGCGGACCACGTGAGAACGTGGCAATATAATTCATGACCGAAAGCCGAAGCTAAAGTTAGTAAGTTACCCGCCGCCCAAGTAGCCACATCTTTAAATCCATCCACTTTTTCGCCACGTAAAACCCCCAGATTTGGGTTGGCAAAGAACGGCGGCCGCCCATTGGCTACAAACAGAGCTTTTTCTTTTTTTGGTTTTAATGCTAACACAGCCCTTTTTCTTCCTTGCTTTTAAAGCCATGCCGGACCAAACAAAAATGATCAGTTGTCAAATAAGTCCCCAAACTTGTTTACTTTTATTTTTTTGTACTAATTCCTTATATCCAAAAATTACATTAAATCTTAAATAATTCAGAGTTGAGTTATCTTAAATCTCATGAAATAGAAACTCTTTAAGTATTTATTTTTTTATTTATAAGATTCAAATTTAAGAAAACCAAACTTGATCCATTTAAATCAACAACTCATTTATTAAACTTGTCTATTATTAGTAATTAAGTTATTGTAGCTTTTCTTTCTATTAAATTGGCTGTTAACTTCTTAACTTGTAGACATTTCCCTAGATTGGACAATAAAGATCATGGACCACACGTAACCATTAGTGCTCGGTAAATTCCAAAAAGCTTTTCTCTCTCTCTCTCTCTCTCTTTTCTTTTTTTCTTTTTTTTTTTGGGTTTTTAGCCGAAAGCTTTCTTTCTTTGAAGTGGTCATTTTTATACAAGAGGATTTTTAATAACATACTTTTTTGGTTAAAATTAATTTAAATTTTATATTAAAATGATGGATTTCTTATGCTTAAAAATTGTCGAGAAAATTTCTTTAAAGTAGGTCTGTTAAATATTTCCTTCAAATTAAGTAAATGTTAAATTTTAAGTTTTGTATAAGTGAAAATGCTCAAATTAAATTTCTCATTAGTGTATTAAAGTTTTTTGAAAGGTCTAAAATATTTTTTTTTGACAAATAATTAATATGTTAAATACTTATTCATTTTAATTAAATAAATATTAAAATTGAAAAATGACAATAAGCAAAACTCTCTTTCTCCTTTCTTTTATTAGTTTGATTAATAATTTTCATTTTAATATCTTAACATAATTAAAAATTTTAGTTTTAATTACTAAAATTTTAATTTTTTTTATTAATACAATTCTACAATTAACTAAATTCTTTTAATTTTTTAATTAAAAAATATTTTGATATTTAATCGTTAACTATGAAATACTTCAATTAATTGAATTTTTAATTGTATTAATTAAACCAAAAAAATTTAAATAATTTTAGTTTTAATTTTCATTTTTAAAATTTATAATAATTTATTTAACTAATATTAATTGATAAAAATTTAATATTTTAACTATTACATCATAAAAGGGTATTATAGATATTATAAAAATTCTAGGTATATTTATAACGAATTTTGTTAAAGCATTTTTACTTATATAAGATTTAAAATTAAATTTTCACTAAATATATATAAAAAAAATCTTGGTAAATATACCATAAAAGAATTTTCCCAAAATTCTTACCCTTGATAGAGCCAACAAGATTGTTATGTTCAGAAAATCGATCTCTACATTAACATAAATCATCACATCCGAATATAACAGACTTTACAAGTATAGGAGTTGAAAGCTAATCTGTCAAAAACATATATGAGGGTTCAATTATAGATGGTAAAGAAACTTGAGGACTTGACTTTTTTTTTTCAATAAATTGAATATCCACAATTTTATTTTTTTATTTTTTTGTGTATAAATATTCAGCACTAAAAGTTTCTTGCTACACAAAACCTTCCACCCTCTCAACAATTTCAAAATGGATTGGAGCAGAGGTCCAGCGATTGGCCGAGGCTCAACCGCCACCGTCTCCCTAGCTGGATCCACTCGGACTGGTGATGTCTTCGCCGTGAAGTCCACCGAGCTTGCCCTGGCGGATTCCCTTAGAAAGGAACAAGAATTTCTATCCACATTAAGTTGTCCTCAAATTGTGTCATACAAGGGGTATAGCATTTCATCGGAAAACGGTAAGCTCCTTTACAATTTATTCATGGAATACGTACCCGGTGGCACCCTTCACGATGAAATCAGCAGGCATGGTGACTGCTTGCCGGAGGTGACCGTCCGATTATACACTCGTCAAATTCTGCTTGGTTTGGAGTACCTTCACTCCAACGGAATAGTGCATTGTGACATCAAGGCGCAAAACGTCCTGGTTACCAATTCCGGGGTGAAAATTGCTGACTTGGGTTGCGCCAGGCGGGATGATGATGATGAGATGTCATGTGCTGATTCGCCTATCGCAGGAACGCCTGTCTACATGGCACCTGAAGTGGCGCGCGGTGAACAACAGGGCTTCCCGGCCGACGTTTGGGCTCTGGGATGTACGGTCGTCAAGATGGTCACCGGGAAGGTTCCCTGGGCCAACGACGTTTCCGACCCGGTTTCCACACTGTACAGAATTGGATTCTCAAGCGATGTACCGGAGATTCCAAGCTTGATACCGGACGAAGCCAAGGATTTCTTGGGAAAATGCCTGGACAGAGACCCGTCGGAGAGGTGGCCGGTCGGAAAACTTCTGGGACATGATTTTGTGAAGGAAAAATCAAATCTTGTTTTCAAGGAAATCAAAGGGTCTAACTTGGAAACACCCACTAGTGTTCTGCATCAAAAATTCTGGGATTCCATGGTGGAGGCAGAGGAAATCCAGAATCTGACAAGAAAACATTCTCCGAGCAATTCACCGGCGGAAAGAATCCGGCTATTAAGTATCGGAACTTCATTGGATGACTGGGATTGGGATGAACGATGGGTTACAGTGAGAATCAATAGTCCTACGGGGAACATAATTAGCATCGACAATGAAGAATGTAATTTGATTAATGTTGATTATCCCACATGTAAATTTACCAATATCTCTGCATTATTCAGAGATCTTGATCTTTTTAATAATAGAATGTTCTGTTATCTACATTTTCTGTGGCATTGCAGGTCTTTTTTTATAGATCAAATTGTTGATTGTACATTCTTCTCTAATTTCTTGAGGGTTTATTTCATTGTCAGTTTAAGATTTAAACATAAAATTTTTAATTAAAATTAGAGAAGAATGGACCTCACCAAATTTACATCCCGGTTAAGCCTTAAGCATTAGTATGGGGAATCGACCACATGGACAGTTAATCTAGCCCACTAATCCAAGAATCCGAGATTATTCGGAAAACTTGAGTACGAAGCAACTAGTCCTCACAAATTGAAAGTTACAGCTTGACCAATTATAGCATTGTCGGCATTGGAGTTACCTTCCTGCTAATCCTGCTTGGCATTCCACTGTGATAGCTGGAACTTTACCTGTGTTAGGGGCCAGATTAAATTCCCACAACCTAATACCTAACTAGTGCTTCGTGCATAGCCAATTAGCCACTACTTGTTGGAGCTTACCAATATCCTTCTTCAGAATATAATAGTGGCACCTGTACAATTTATTAGGTACTTACCTCTCCCCATCACTTATCTGTTCCTTGGAAGCAGAATATAATAATCCAGCTTTCCACCATGATAAAGTTGGCTGTCTTTTTGGCTATTAATTGGTCCTCTTCGTCACAATAAAGTAACAGAGATGAACTTCTCATCTAACAATTTCTGGATTAATTACATTGAAGTTCAGTTGTGTTTATATGACCTCTGACACTTTCTGGCTTCTCACAGCTGGAAAAGATCAAATAGACTCTTGATACTTTACTTATTATCTCAGTCCTGTGCAACTAGTTTATTGGGTTAAGTAGAAGAATGAAGTGGACTCCACAACAAAGAAACTTGTGGACTAGGAAAAGTAAGTAGAGAATGCACCATTGCTTTATCTGTTCGTCTTCTTTTTTTTTTCCCATACTTTTGTTTAGCTAAGACCATCCATCTTATCCATTCCTTATTCTTTCTTTTCCACTAAACATCTAGCTAGCTAGGATCCAATACAGAGCGCACTGCCTCATTCTTCTTTCTAGCATTACTAGTATATTTTCATTGGCAGTGGAATGTCTTTCAGCAGATAAAATTCAATTATCAAATCAAACTCAAATTGAGAAAATATGAACCATAGAGAGAGTTTCTTTGTATCCATACTGCATCATCTAGTGCTTTCCAGGCTTGGTATCTGAATTTGATGAGTGTATGTCTGATGTAAGAGCGTCAATACAGGAGAAATAGCTCCAAGGGATGGTCACTAGTAGGTCTTTGTCCTATCAAGGATAAGGGGCACAACCTATAGGGTAGTACCGAAACGGGGTTCATCTTCTATAAGTTCTTCGGCTTACATGTCCACACTCATGGGAGAAGCAGAATGCCACCCTCCAATCCTGGTCAATGCTGATACCTGTTGGTGAAATATTAATGTCATTAATATTAATATTAATATTAATGCAGCACAGATGGTCAATGTTTATACACAGACCAGTGAAATATTAATGTTATTAGGTTTTTATCTCTGTGTATGCTTGTTGTAGATTTACAGGCCATGTATGTCCAAGAAATCTGTGAAGAAATTCAATGTTGCTTGGTGGGCTTACTTATTTCCATTAACCTTCCTTGCCCTGGCTTGTGCTGAATATGCCAAAGAGGTGAAAGGTCATGTAGCAACTGGATTGATGTTCGTGCTATCAATACTCTCAGTTCCAGTTTTCATTGGCTTAATGCTGCTCAGTGGAGCTAACACTGACAACCTTTTACATGCAAACGATGCTGTCATGAATTTTCCAGTAATCTAAAACCAAGCACTTGAACAGAGCAGCAGTGGCAGCATGCAACTGGGACATCACAATTCCATCCCTAGACACCATGTATTATTACGCTGGAATTCCATTAGCTCCCCCATAATGTAGAAGATAGTTGTACAGATTCAGAAAGCAAGAAAGAAAGAAGCAAATATCTGTGGTAAAAAATTTCTTTACCATTAAACCTTCTAATCTTCCACAGTTTGTCATCTCAAAAATCTTTAATCCTTAAATTCTACATGATTCAAATATGTAAAATGAAAACCCTATTTCTCCCTTTCCTCTTCTTTTCCCCAGGATTTTCCCCTCACGAAAACATTGCATGAATGGCAAAACGCCGCAAGCATAAAAAGAAACCACTAGAACTCCTGGGCAAAAACCATGAAAAATGTCAATGAAACTGCAGCATATTTTGCAAGAGGTTCAGTTCGTTACATATTCTTCTTGCTCGCTGAACGTGACAATTTATGGTCCAAAGATTGCAGCTGATTACGTAAATTTTGGTTCTCCTCAAGCAAACGATCATACTCAAGCAGGAACCCTTCAGATTGCTTACTTAGAGCAACTGCACTGGCTTCTGCAGCTTTTATCTCTTTCTGCTTTGTCTCAAGTTCAGATTCCAGCTGCTTAGATTTTGCTCGCAGATTTCTAACTTCTTCCTCCAAGGCTTTAATTTCCTCTGAACCACTAGATTTAACATCCTCAAAACCTCGATCCTGTTTCTTTACAGTCTCCATGCTCTTCCTTCGTATGCGGAGTTCTCTGATATAATGATGTAACCTGTCTATCATTAGTGCAAGGAATAGGGACGCCCCTGCAAGAGGAAACTGAAGTTTAATACAGGTACAAGAGCCAAAATCGAGAGCAAGTAGGCACCATGGAAGTCAAAATGAATCAAGAGAAATACAGAGACAACAGAGCAATGACACCTAAGTTCTTATGCTTGACTGTCTTCCTATTCCTTGAGAAAAACTACAATATGTCAGACAGAACATTGTCACTATGAATCCTATGTGTTAATAACAAGATAGAAAACAGATCATGTTAAAACAAGACCTAAATTCTTAGACTTTAACCATCTTTCATGATACAGTCACTTCTGTAGTATAAGTATTTATGACATGAATGCACTACCACACAAAGTGATGCCTTTAACACAAAAAAGTAACATTTATGTCCTCTTCAATCAAGCATTCTTGCGCAAATGAAGAGGAACCCTCAACAAACAAGAAGAAAAGGAGCAAAAAGAACAACAACAGTCTACATATTGGTAAAAGGAACCCTCAAGTCACAAGGAAGAGGAACCAATAGATTAACTGTGGAAAAATATCCTCAACCTCTGCAGACATGAGCTACTGTTCAAGGAACCAAAGACAATGATGTAAAGCAACCTGGACCAGAGAAAGTTCATTATTTATGTTTTGCTCAAAAGGAAAGTTTCAATTACATCACCAAAGGAAAAAACTTTAACCAACATACTCAGAAAAATTAAAGACAGAGATTTGAAGATTATAAGAATTTCCCATCAATCCACTAATCACTACAACTAAAATTCATCAAAGAAAGAAGAAAAACCCTACATTGCAATCAACCCTACCAATTCTGCAATCAAACAGAACCACAAAGTCAAGAATTAAGAACCAAATAGAATAAATATTTCAAGAACTCAAAAACACAATAGCTAATTACCCATCAGAGTGGCTTCAAGAAGGTGCCCGGCCATGAGAACCTGATCGGTCGGATTGGCAGCACCTTCATCGATCCAACGCTTCTGGATCTCAATCATGCTGTAAACGCTAGACATCATCACCACAAAAACCGTTGCCGCCACCGTCTTCACCATAACGGGGCCACGTCCGCGCTTGACCCGATCCATACCCATGATAACCAACTTCCTTAAAGGGGTCTTGAACAGCAGCAGCAAGATCAGTGCCGCCTCTGAGAATATCACCATGAACAGCAACTGAATCATCTTCCTCCTCCCCTGAAAACTTCAAAGCTTTCAATTTCTTCGTTTAGGGTAGTCCCTACTGAAGAATGTACGTCAATATCTTGAGAAGAGATGCAGGAGATGAGATCTATGGAGGTTTTCCAGTGGAAACTAAGAGCTGAAGAAGAGAGAATGAGCTTGCCGGTCTGGACTATTTGTATTCACTTTGCTGACTTGGTTTTCGAAGTCTTTGGCTATTTGTAGAGAGGTCCTTTGACTTTTGGTTTATCGGAAATTGAAGCCACTACCTTTTGTTATCACGTGAACAAAGGCTTGTAAGTTGCAAAGTTGCAAGATTAAAACCAACTAAAATTGATCTTCTTTGAGGAGACAGGCATGCGGCAGTTGGGAGTAATAATAAACCATAATAAGAAGAAAATTTTTTATGAATTTCTTAGTTTTGATATAGACAATCTGTTTTTAACTTTATTGAAAAAGAATTAATTTCAAGATTTGTACAAATTATTTTAAAAACTCTATGATTGCTAAACTAAAAAAAAATTACAGCAATGGAGGGAGTATGCTGTTCAAACAAACAAATGTCTAATGATACTACAATTTCTCGTGAATCTAAAGGCTGGAAATAAATCTATACTCTTTTTACTAGATCTAAAATGTGAATTTAAGTTGGTACAAAACAAACTCATTGGCAATATCTTAACCCTTAAGGAGGAATAAAAACAAAAATTTGAAAAGTGGGTGCTTTTAATCAAGCACACAATAGTGACTAATTAAAACACTAACAAGATCCATCATTGGCGGCTGCTTCTAAGCTAAAAGCACTTATCCATTTGCCTTTTGGTCACGTTAGTGTGAAAGATTTACAGTTAATTAGCCAGAGATATAATAAAGGACCTATGCATCTTTGTTTTAAAAGTAAGCAAGGGAGGAATGAATGCACATGAGGATGATGAGTGGTTAGCAGATGGACACTGATGGTACTCATTCTTTCTTCTTGCATCTGTTTTTCTTTTTCTTTATTACTCTAACATACCGATATGGATTCACCTAAGAACGTAAGCTAATAGTAAGACATCAGATAAGATAATTCCAACTTTAGATTGTTAGGTTAGAGAGACTCAATACAATATTTACAAGTGTTGTCTTATAAACTAGATTTAGAGTTTAGGTCTTAAGACAACACTTAAGTAAATTAATCTTTTTTAATATACCAAGCGAATGTCGAGGATGCATCTTTAAGATTTTTCAAAAATAAAAGAGATTAATTTTAAGATACGTAAAAACTAATTTAAGACATCTTGATAGTAAATATTGAAAAAATAAAAACAATAATAATAACTACAAGCTGTCTTCCTAATTTTTTGACTCAAGACATTTGTACACAAGACACTAGGACATTTGGTTCACGGTTTAAGGACATGTTAAAACTCTCGCTCTCAAACCTGAATCCTCTTGTCTCCTGCCTCCGGTTATTTTTTTTTTTGGTTCCCCATCCGGTATCCGGGGCTTCGCCCCGACTACTCCGGACTCGACCAGCTGTGGCGCACCAGAATGGTGGGTGGGTCTCCCAATGAAGATTGCTGCGTACACAAGGTATCGAACTCGAGACCTTGCTTAAGCTGGAACAAGCCTCTTGTCTCCTGCCTCCGGTTATTAGAAAAGATGAAATGATGCCTTTGTGTTTGTGACCAGCCCAGCGTCAGCGAGCATGAATGAGCTAATCTCAATTTTATTTATTTTGGTCAAAGTCCCAGGATTCGTAAATGTAGTTCTCAACTTTAATACAGGATTCAGATTGAATGCTACCATTGTAATTAACTGTTAGAAAATGTTTTAGTTGTTATTTGCTAGTAGTTACCACTATTAATTGTTTTTAATAATCAAACTAAATACACTTATATTATTTTTGTCTAACCATAACAATCCTCTGGTCATAACCATGACCTATATAAAATAACCAAGATTCTTGGATCTTGGAATGGTGCACTTGCACTACAAAATACAGACAAATTCTGCCTTATGTCCAGTGGCGGAACCAGAATTCTATGCAGGGTAGGGCCTTATGACAATTGGACTAAAATTATCAATTTTCCAGTAGTGACCTCATTGTGCTTATTTGGAAAAAAGAATCTTTCAAGTTACCAATAAAAAATAAATAAAAATAACTAGTAAATAATGATAATTATTAGTATGTTTTTTTACTCCTCTACTAGTCTCCAAAGTAATTGTTTAGACTTGTCCTGCTTATAATTATTTTTATCATTGTTAGTAATTCTTCAAAAAACAGATAAGTTGAAGAAACTAATGAGTTGTCTAACAATTACATGTTAGACAATGATCTATTTTGAAAAACTTTAGAAAAGTTGACAAACTTATTTTTAAGTGATAATTGTTTGTACTATGAATTTATTATTTTATAATTATTTTTTTATTTATGCTAAAGAATTTGAACAAATTAAAGAGCATTATTTCTCAAATAATATACAAATATATTTTTTCTTAAGTCCTAAATTATGTCCATTTTATTAAGATTAATTGTGTTAATGTAATTTGATCTCTTGGTGGTTGCTATATGTGCACCAATTTGTATATTTTTGCATTTGTCAGCAAATTCTCCAAGGCCTAGTACTAATAGTATGCTGGAATAGGAAAATGAAGATGGACATAAGGGAAACAGAGAGAAAAAGTGTATTTTAAGATTTTAAATTTTTTAATATTCTAAAATTATTACTTACACTAGATAAAGCATTAATGAAGTTTTCTTTTGTAAATAATTTTCACATTATGAAATATTGAAGTCCACTAATGGACCAAAAAATATCAGAATTGAAATCCTTAGTTAAGAGCAATTAAAATTTATTCCTTTAAGTATTAAATTGATGAAATTTCATGTCTTACTTAACCATTTATATCAATTACCAAGGTAAAACTTTCCCTCTTTTAGTTTGCCTTTTCTTAATATTTTGGCAAAACCATAAGTTAAGCCGCTGAACTAACCCCAGAATTGCTATTAAGCCCCTAGACTTTAATTGATGCAGTTAAGCCCTTGAACTCTGGGATCAAAGCAATTAAGCCCTTCTTCTTAAGCAATTTATTTTAAAAATTAAAGTCTAAGGGCTTAATAGTGTAAGAAGAAGAGCTTAATTGCTTTGATCCCAGAGTTCAAGGGCTTAACTGCATCAATTAAAGTCTAGGGGCTTAATAGCGATTCAGGGATTAATTCAGGGGCTTAACTTATGGTTTTGCCTAATATTTTTAGGAAGGGTAGGGTCTGTGCCCTACCCTTCCCCTTAGTAGTTCGGCCACTGCTTATGTCATCAATACATGACAACTAACCAGGTAGGTACAACAAACCTCACCCAACATACCGCGTAGAAAAAGGAATACAAGCACATAATGTCGCATACCAGCTTCATACAGTTCAGTTGCAGCATCAAAAACTACCGTGTATGTTTACAACAGCTTAATTGTTAAACTTAATGCTTAGGCATACATATGATACTCAATATTATCCCAATGAGACAGGCATAAAAATGAGATCCAACGTTATTTTTAACACTAGAATGTCCTTAAATTCTGATTCTGGATCAGTGCTTTCTTTTTCTCTATTTGGCCTTGGTCAACACCATAGTTCTTGCACGTAGATTCAGAAATATTCCCCTGAAAGTTGAATATGAAAAGGAATAAATCTTCCTTTAATTGTTGAATTTTATTGGGTTTAGTAGTGAATTAAGTGATCATTAGGAAGGTAAAGTTTTACATACCAGCAGCATGCCACGACACTGTGGAAAATGACACGGAATTGCAATGGCACATATTGGTGGTTTATCCAACCCACAACGGGCCAGAACTGCATTTTCATTCATTTAGGTTACACATAAGAAATATAAAGAACAAACCTTTCCAGAAGAAAAAGGACAAAAAAAAAAAATGTCAGTATGGATTAAGGGTGGAGATACATACTGTCCAGGCTGTATATTGAACCGTGGGATACTCCTGCTTGATTTTAGTTTTCACCTGCATCCACGGTCTTCCTGCATTTCACATTTCCCATTAAACAATAAGAAGCACGTACATTAGCTGCTTTCTGTATGAAACAAGCAATTTACATTAGCATGTTTTTTCACAGTATGTAGGAGATCTGAAATGTTCATGCTTAGCCATATTTGCTTTTCTCAAACTGACTTCTTTGAAAAATAATCAGCTTTTCTTGTCCGTATAACATTAATCAATGAATTTCATACCATATACCTAATACCTAGGTCAGATTTTGGAGGAGGCAGCAAATCTAGTTTATATTCAATCCCTTTCGCTATCTTATCCCATGAATCTATCCGGTAACTTTCATGACATAAAGACCTTATACATTAAAATATGGACTTACCCTCAACAATGACCCCATAGAAAATCATGAAAAGCAGGTTGTTCCAAGGAGAAGATGTCAATTGTTCCAGCACCACCTAAAATGTTTTGATTTGGCATGAGATAAAATAGTTCTATTGATTGAATGAACTATTACACTTGTCTATGCTCAAATTATGATAATTCCAGGTTATACAAGCATGGAAAAGTAATACATATGGTTCACAATTTGGGCCATATCATACCTTCTTAGCAACAGTTTTTGAATCTTTTCTTCCCTTAAAGATTTTATCGAGTAATATATGCAAGAAGTGTCCGAAAGGTCCAAGATAAGCAAATCCAAAAAGCTGCAGTTAGCTACATTAAGTTAGATGGCACAACTCAATTGAATAACAACAGGTGCAAATAAGCAAAAATGAGCCAAATTAAACATAATTAACTGCATTTTGAACTTAAAAAACAACAACAAATATGAACCAAAAAAATTTTTAAAAAAAAAATCCAAAAGGGAAAAGGGAGATACCACTTTCAGAAGAAGGCGTCTCAGTTGAATCCTCTGTATGCCAGAGAGCTTCTGGGCAACCAAGTCACTAATAGCTGACAATACCCCTGCTGTAATTGCCTGCACCATAGGTTTTTCGTCATTCAAAAAGATTATTCCTTTACTACAATCTCAACTCTTCACTGCTAACCTATCATCTGATCTTCATTTTTCTCTCATTTAACAATAATTAACTCAGGAATTAAAACAACCCAGAAAAGAATTCTTCACAGTAGTATGAGTAAGTAACACAGTGAAGAAGAAGAGAGACAGAGGACCTTAGTTCTCAAGGGGTGGCGCTGAAGCTGTAACAAGTATTGCTGCAATCCCTTCTTCGCAACTGAACCCATTTCCGGATTGGTCCCTTCCCTCTAATTTCTTTCAATCCTAGGGACGAAAACAGGGAGTCGCCGCCGGCAGATCCTGCTTTGATTGTTCTGTTCCTCCCCTCAATTTTTCTGCTTCACTTCCTCTTGCTCCTAAAATATCTGGGTCGTTGTTTTTTCTATTAAATTATTAATCAGCATTTTTGGATTACTTACGCATTTTCGTTTTCCCATTTTGTCCTTGAGCATCAATCATTAAAACGACGTCAATTTAGACGTTTCATGCCGTTTTCCTTTGGGAAAATACCCTAATCTAACCCCAAATATAATTACAGGATAGATCCACTCCTAAATAAAAAATAAGATAAATTTACTTATAAAATTTTTGATTTAGATAAATTATCTTAAATTTAACATATGATATCATTTAATATTAATAATTTATTAATTTGACATCATTTGATAATAATAATTTATTAATTATTGATATTAGATGATATGACACTTTAAATTTATGTTAACTTATCCAAATTAAAGACTTTTGTGGATTTGTCTCTTTTTCTGTTCAGGGATGGATCGGTCCTGCCACTATAGTTTGGGAGTGGATTTGAATATTTTGCCTTTTCCTGAAACTGCTTGAAACCTCTTCAGTTCACTGAAAACCACTAAAAACCTCTCCTCAAATAGAATCTCGCGAAGAACTTCACAGTCTGCACGGCCACAATCTCTGTTTTGGCCTTTACCCTTTTATCAGCACCATCACTGACTCTCCACAGTTGCTCCCATGGCGAATTTACTCATACATTCAAGATCCTGCATTTAAATAGCTTCTCACAGAAATCTTACTCAACAAATTTGTCAGTTCGATTTACAACACAAAAATGGAAATCTGTCGATCGTTGTCTCTAATTGATGTTACCAAGTGCTGCCTCAATTCAATTAGCCAAGTGAGTTTGTTTTCAACTTTTAATCATTTTAAGGCGTAACTTTCCATATTTAGTTCTTTAGTAAAGTTTTTGAGAAAAGCAGGTCATACAATCCAAAGGATTCAGGAAGACTCCAAAGCTACCATAAAGGTCGCTTTTGCGATTACTATGAGTTGATGGATACCAGGTAATAAAATGAAAATTTTGTATCAGATTTGATATTAATTGAAATTGATAAATTATTTAAGAAGAGTCGTAATTTCAATCTGGAAGCAAAGGATGCATGCCAAGTAGTTATTGAATGATAAGTTGATATGCATTTCTCTCTCTCTCTCTCTCTCTCTCTCTCTCTCTCTCTTTTTAAATATTTATAGTTCAAGTTCTAACTATTTGTTTCTACAAAATATAAAGCATAATGTCCCCTGTGATGTCTTCCATAATTGCATTTATACTACAAATATTCACAGACATTATACGCTTATTTTTTTTTTGGATTTCAGTAATATTATAGCCTTGGCCTGCTCTCCAATCCACCACTTATTCAAACAGCATACTCTGCATTTTTCTGTTCGGAAATTGTCAGGCTTGAATGTTAATTAAACTTTCAAAATTTTATGATTCATGAATGTTTACTGTTGATGCAATCATGATAGAAAAGTAAATCAATGCATGTTTCTAATTCCTCTCTTTCATGCAGTTGGCTGGCACGTGGAATGGAAAGCAGGATTCTTTTCATCAAAGCTAGAGATTGCGCACCACAACAAAGACAACAGTAGGATGTTTTGCTTATAAAATTCAATCATGGGTATTGCATTTTAATAATCATTTCACCAATAATCAGCATCTTAAAAATCAATATATATACATATGTATGTATGTGCATATCAACTTTCAAAAAAAATTAAGGAGAACAACTTACAAAACACCTTTCCCATATATATATATATGTGTGTGTGTGTGTGTGCGTGTGTGTGTGTGCGCGCGTGCGTTTATGTATGTTTGTATGCACTGGTTCCAACTAACATTAGTGCCTTTTTCTTCTATTTTTTAAAATTTATTTATTTACTAGGATATTTTGTTTCCTGTGGACTAATTTATTTCACCATTGGTTGTTATTGATTTGAAATCAGTTGGAAAGTTTCTATGCGATGTCCTTGCCACACAAAAGGAGCTGAAGGTCATAGAGTAGATGGAACAGAAGAGATGCTGCCCAGGTTTGGTTGAGAACAGCAGGTGGTTGTTGAAGATGCTAAAATCTCTCTCAGAGGAGCCCAGATCAATCAAAGAGCTAAAGTTAAGAGCCTTTTTCTCTTTTTGTTTATCTTTTAACAATTTATTTGATTCCTATGATATTTTTGTTGGCCGTGGTTTATTTATTTCTCTTGGTAAGTAGTGATCACTCACAATAACATGGCCACTAAGATTGTATCCAATGTTGGACCTTCTTAAGTTAGGTAACCAGAAGTCAAATAGTTTCAAGTCAATGTATAATATCTTTAACCAAAAAAATTAAAGCTCAATTCACTTCAGTGCAGGATAGCTGAATGTGTTTATAAGAACACAATAATGATTAAAGCTGATGGGCCTAGATGGCAATTCATCACAGCTGCCATCAAGACCTCATTAAGGTGAGCATTAGCAATTTAATGTAATTCTTTAAACTATGTGGTACAAAATTATGGTGACAAGTTATTGATGCTGACCCATAATAATCTGAAGTCATATACAGAGAATGCCTTCAATTTGGAGAGTGTTAATTGCTTCTGAAAATCAGCAAGAACTAGCCAATCTTCTGTTAGGTTAACATAAAAAGGTTATAATCTTAAATGCATATTGATAATAGTGGCCATATAATAAGATTTCACTCTATGGTGCATTTAGATTATGTTGGAGGATTGGTTCTTGATTTTTGGCTTTGTCTTTAGGGTTCTTACTGAATTTCTTTATGGTCTATTATTTGTAACTTTGCCCAACTCATTACGTACAACTTGTAGTTCGAACTAGAAATTTATTATTAAGCTTTCATTGTTGACTGCATCGAATTATTTAAATTTTTACAACTTTTGTTAAAAGTGCAGGGATGCTATCTTTGAAAAAGAATTGGTTGTGGGTGAGGGTTAGAAGGTAGAGCAAGAAAACCTTAAGAAGCTTAAAGAAACCAGTAAGATACATCCTTCGAGATGTAAGAAACAAAGAAAGAGTTAAGAAGGGCTTGGCATGTTAGAAACAGAGAGAAAGATCCAAAGGGGAGAGAGCATAGAGGTAAAATATTTTGGGTCTAGAGTTCCAAAAATATTTTTCGGTCTGGGGGTTCCTAATTTCCATTCTCCACCATGAGTTGAGTGATTTGGGTAGTGGTTGTGTGTAGTTGAAGTAGCTTAAAGATGCACTATGTTGTTCAAAATAAAAAAATGCTTTAGAGATATACTATAATCTTTAAGAAAAACTATGCATAGGACCTAGCTACTATAAATTTTGAAATGAAAATAATGAAACAAATGCCACTTCTGAGAGATAGATTAGGTGGTGTTAAACTTGATGTAAAATGGTGTTAATTTAACTGTGGTTAAAGGCAAGGTAATTCTATGGTTTGCTAACTGCTTGCTTTCTCCACAAAGTATCATATAAATGTCTTAGCATTCTATGAGTAATTACAAATGTAAATCTTTTATTTTTAAACTGGAATATGGAAATAGTGTTATAATAGGTGAGATTAGAATGATGATATGGCATGGCGAAAAAAGGGGAATAATGATATGGCATAATGACACCAAATGTTTTGAAGTTTCCTATGTCAAACTATTTACTATTAATTGATTGTGCTGTGACTACTCTTGCCTCTTGCGGCTATTTGGCAAGCAGGAAGCTAATATTGGACAATTACATGGCTCCTACTATATTGGGCAATAAAAAGAAATTTGAACTTCTAATAAGTTCATATGTTTATTGCAGATAGTTTATCACTACCATAACATTCAAGGATCTCATTACCTATATAGTTTTTAGTGTTTCAATGAAATCTTTTCTTTTATTGTTTGGTGGGTAAAATATATAAATTTTGTATCTAATTAATTGATTAAAAGAAACTTATCTAATTTGATGTTTATTTTCTTCTGCAAGTAGGGGCACATTTTTAATTAAATATATAAATAGATTAGTCAAAAGCACTTGAATGGCAAATAAAGAATGCTAACATGATGCAAATATTACCGAGTTCTCATAATGCCATTCCCGTAAATAGTAATGATTTACCTATGTTGTAGGAAAGACACGATAGACTGTTCTAATCAGAGGCAAAGCAAATTTCTAAGTACTCAAGAGAAAGAATAGCTAGAGCAAGAAAATACAACATAGACACAAACCACAAGGTAACGAGTCTACGACATCTTCAAGCGTTCTAAATAGAGTATAATAAATACATTCAATTAGAAGAGTTCAATGACTAAAACTTGCTTATGTTTACATGTACTACATAGAGATTAACTACCAGGGAGCTCTAAAAAAATTATAGAAGCTATATATTTTAACACTGAGGAATATTCCATTTGGGAAGAATGATTTGAAATACAAACATAAGAATTAGTGTGAAATAGTAGGATAAAGGTCTAGATATCTAGCATATGTGTACCTAATCAATATAGTTTTCCATGAGAATAGTTACATAAAAAAGCTAGGATGGTATTGGATAGTCCACTTGATGGAAAGAAAAATGAATTTAACAAATGGAACAAAGTAATTGAAAAAGGAGGGAAGGCAGATGGTGGAGGTGGTGCTGATGGTGTTGATGATACTTTTGGGAAGAGGCCCAATAAACAAGTTCAACTTTTTCAAGTATCCTTTATCTCATTTTTAGTATCAAGTAATTTCATGTTAAGCCAAAGTATTAACATTCTATAATATTAGTACATGCTTCTATAATTTTATGTTCATTTTGTTTTAACTACAATAATTATATAAGTTTTCCCATTACTTGCATAAAAATGTGTTGCTACTTAGAGTCATACACATAGGCATCAATACTTTTTTTAATACTATTTTTACATTTTAACTCTCACTATAGAATCATTTTAATTACCTAAAAGAAAATAGTTTACACATGATAATGTCACAACTGATGATGATCCATACATGCTTTTTTTTTTTTTTTTTGGGTAAATGATGATGCATACATGCCAAGGTTTTTAAAATCGGATCAGACCAGATCGGTCTGTTGAACCGGTCGGATCGATACCAATAATAAAAACGATTCGGTTTACATAAAAAAACCGTTTGAGGTTAAAACTGGTCAAAACCGGTTAAAACTTATCAAAACCGATCAAAACTGGTGAAACCAATAAAACCAAAAAAACCACTAGTTCAATTTCTCATGCAATTTTTTTTCTATTTTTTTTCCAATTTCACCCTCACCATTCCTTTCTTATACCGATTTTAACCCTTAATTTTAATAAAATTACAAAATTACCTGCTCTTCTCATAAGATTTCCCTTGTTATTTGGATCGGTTGGTTCATCGATTCAACCGGTTGAACTGGTCAAACCAAAAACCAGATCCAAAAATGGTTCAATGACCGGTTCGATTTTAAAAACCTTGATACATGCTTACTTTTTGCAAACAACACTTTCAGTTGCAGGCAATTTTGAATTCCAAACAAGGGCAACTCCCGCATGTTCACATGCTACTCTCCTTTGGGTGGATCAAGGGCAACTTCCTTTTTTTTTTTTTTTTTTTTTGGGTTTTTGAATGTAGAAAATTCTTATCATCTTTGTTGGACTAAAAATATGTCTAATGCACTGTCTGCTTTGTATTGAAAATTAAAACGAAAATTCTACGAGAAAGTACGTAGATTTTCCTAATATCCTCAAGGGTCAAAGTTAAAGACAATTCTTTTAAATGCTAATAAACTTATTATATAAATATGTCGTTAAAATAATTAAGAAAAGTTCTTTCTTAAAATATGGATAATAAAATATTAGTGTCCAACCTATAAAAATGAAATTATATGCATCATAAAAAGAAAGAGAATAATAGCACATCGCTCATATAATACTTTATATTTCAAAAGAAAAACCCTATGAATACATAAAATTAAAATACAAATAAGAATTATTTTTTTATGGCAAAATATGACTGAAAAGTAACATAAACTTCAAATATAAGTGATATTAACCTTTTATAATTAAATATATTAAAGAGTATTTAGAGTATAAAAATAACACAAATGGCATTAATAACAGCCTAAGAGAATGATTGAAAAACTGCACGTAGTGTAGTCCAACCACTTGTTTGGTTTTATTGATTTTGTCCACAAGTTTTGAGCTTGTCGGGCTTTTGGGTTGCAAACAGAAAAGGTCAAACACAACTTGCTAAGTTCAAAGGTTTTTTTTTGTTGCCCATGTAAAGTTCAAAGTTCGTGTCTCTATTTGAAAAAAAAAAAAAATTGGTTTGTTGTTTGAATTTTATTAAATTATAAAATAAATATTTTAAGATAAAAAATAATTTTTTTATATTAAAGACTTTTCATGCATTAAAGAGATTTATTCTGCAATTTGGTAATTATATTTAAATAAAGAATTTAAAGTTGAAATATTTGAGAGAAAAGGAATTTGACAAAATGCACTGCGGATCTTGCAGTTTTGATTCAACCCTTGTGCTATAACTTGGGAAAGGGTGGAAGACTATTATAATGTAGTTTTGATTCAACCCTTGTGCTATAACTTGGGAAAGGGTGGAAGACTATTATAATGTAGTTTTGATTCAACCCTTGTGCTATAACTTGGGAAAATGTGTAAGACTATTATAATTTTAATAGTATTTTTTAATGAAACTTTCAAAAAAAGAAAAACAATAAAAGATGTTGAAACGAAAGTAAATTGAATTCAAAACCATCATCCCATGTTTACCAAAATCTCAGTGCCATTTCAAATGGGTTTAATGGACCACACGACACGGTGTGGAGATTAGTATATGCTTGGTTTAACTTATAAAATACTTATTCTATTTTGGTATGAAGTAAAAGTTGGGCCAAATATTAGTCTTTTAAAAGGTTAGAATTCAGAGCTACAAACACTATTGGAGTAGACTGTTTCGCCATTAAATTTATTAATCTGATAATTTTTATTAATTTTTATAAAATTTTAGAAAATTATTTGATATAAATTTATGATTTAATATTTTTACAGTAAAATCCTATCAAACATTTTGTTGAGAGGAGTGCTATAGAATTTAGACACTCTGTATTTATATTTTTCACCAACACTTATGATGTAATTGATCTATATAATATGTATTTTTTTTATTAATTTATGTTACAAATTAAGTTATTTAAATTTATAATTAACATGTAAATTAATTATATTAGGAGTGTTAAAAAAAGAATGAAAAAAATTATTGTCCCTATCATTTCTTTTTTAATAAAAGTTACTACCTATGTTAAATTGGCTCTTAGATGTCTTGATGTGGCTTTTCGAATTATGACATAGGAGTTTATAATACTTCTATCGTTCAAAAATTATGTATAAAAAAGAAAAATATATCATTATTGTTCATATATGCTACTCATATATAAAATAATTATTTAAATAACTTGTAAAAAGGTGAAAAAGGAAAGTAAGAAAACTAAGTTAATTTAAAGGAGTTAGTATCTTTTTTTTTTCTTCTCTATTTTGGGTTAGTTTCATAAAATTAGTTTGTCCTTACATTTTTCTTAAGAGTACATATTCAATTATTGTCTTTCAAATTATGAGGTAAGAGTTTATATGGCTTTCAACATCCGGTAAAACAAATATATCTTACATGGTCTTTCAAATTACGACGTACAAGTTCATGCAACCATTTCTCCCATTGAGTGGGTAAAATCTATGAAAACTTAAGAAGTTTTTTCCACACACGAGAAAGAAAATGTAAAAATATATCAACTTATAAAGTTCTTCATCATAATCTCCAAACAATCAACAAGATATTGTTAAATTAAAAAAAATAATTTTGAACAATTTTGCAAGAGGTAAAATTTAAACTATTACTCGAAAAAAAAAAATACACTTAAATATGACCCGATGCTACGACCTGAAGGCCCAAATGTAGATTTTATTAAATTAAATTGGTATTCATTAGTTAAAAAATTTTTATTCACAATTAATTAAAATTAAAATTTCAAACTTTTATCATATCAAACAAGTTAAATATCTAATCGTACAATCGTATTAAAATGAAAAAAGACAAGTCATAATATCCAAACGAAGAGTTGCTTTTGAAGTGGTAACGAAGGAAACGGTCCTAGCTGTGGTCCTTTGGGCCAAGTCAATTCCTGAATATTGGGTCAGTGACTACTTTTCCGCCCAACAAGCAACGACCCCTTCGCAGTCATTTTGCCCTATAAATAAGACACCCAAGCCATCCTCTTCCCTCCATCCTCAAATCTCAAACTTTTCTTGTTCAACAAAGACAGCATAAAACTTTAACGATACACACCCACACAAAACTCAGCCTTTTCTTGTTTAATTATGGCCTCCTCTTTCCTTTCTTCCTCCTGTTGTTCTTCCTCCTTGAAGAGAATCAATGCTGCTCTATCCATCCCTAAGCTTCCACCAGTCCGTATCTCAGCTCCCAAAAAGATTCCCACAAAAGAAAAGATCCAGGGATTCACGCCCGGAAACAAAATCACAATAAAAAACGATGTCTCCATTACAACATTACAAGAACAGAACATTTCTTTAAGAAGCGATTCTATTGCAACTTTGGAGATGTATGCTATATTGGAAGCGGTGGTAGACAGGGTGGAAATGCACCATAACATCGGCGAGCAGCGAGATAACTGGAATACCCTTCTCCTTAACTCCATCAACATGATCACTCTCACCGCCACCACCATGGCTGGCGTTGTTGCAACTGGTGCCGTTAACCAAGGTGGTTCAGGTTTGGCTTTGAACTTGGCATCCACCCTCTTGTTCTCCGCCGCCACAGGGATGTTGGTTTTGATGAACAAAATGCAACCTTCACAGCTTGTGGAAGAACAAAGAAATGCTACGAGATTGTTTAAGCAGCTACAGAGTCAAATTGAAACTCAACTAGCTCTCGACTCTCCGACCAAAGATGATGTTAAGGACGCAATGGAGAAGGTCCTGGCACTAGATAAAGCTTACCCCCTTCCATTACTCGCAGGAGCAATGCTTGAAAAGTTCCCTAAAACTCTCTCCCCTACTGTTTGGTGGCCGAGAAATTCTCAAAACAGAGCACGGAAACAGAGTAAAACAGAGCATAATGGATGGAATGAGGATTTAGAAATGGAAATGAGAGACATTGTGGATGTCATCAAGAGAAAAGACAGAGAAGATTACGAGAGACTTGGCAACATTGTATTGAAGACCAACAAAGTTTTAGCTGTTGCAGGCCCCTTACTAACGGGCATTGCAGCTATTAGCTCTGCTCACGGCGGTTCATGGGCAGCAACAATGGCTGCCATGGCCGGAGCTTTGGCTACCTCTGTTAACACCTTAGAGCACGGTGCACAAGTTGGTATGGTGTTCGAGATGTACAGAAACTGCGCCGGATTCTTCAGCCTTGTGGAGGAAACAATTGAATCCACACTCAATGAAAGTGATGTTGAAAAGAGAGAAAATGGGGAATTGTTGGAACTGAAGTTGGGGTTGCAGCTGGGGAGAAGCTTGTCGCAGGTTAAAGAACTTGCTAAAAAATCAAGGTATTCTCAGATTGAAGGAGTTACCATTGATGAATTTGCAAGCAAGATTCATTGATTGAAAAAGCTTCCTACAATTGTAAAGTCTGATTCCTTGGAAAAATGAACTGATTCTTTTGTATAATTATTCAGTATGAAAAAAAATAATAATAAAGGTTGAATCTTTGATTACATGATTTGTTTTTTTATATTTCCGAAATCAATTGTGGGATTTGAAGTTAACAGGCGAAAGGTTTGGAACTATAGATTGCTGATGGCCCTTTTTGTTATTCTGAACGGAGGTTGGATTCGTTTTGATCATCCGGAAATGTTGACTTTCTAACTTTAGCTTACAAAACCCAAAAAAAAAAAAAGAAGAAGAATTCAATAAATAGTTTATTAATTATGTATTTTATTTTAGTTTAATTTAAAAATATATTTTTTTAAAATGATTTATAAACTACCAATTTTGTTTTAAAATGATCTACTTGACAAATATTTCGTTAACTAACTAACGAAATTCCTTTTGGCTGTTGATAAACTGTCCCTTAAAGTTTCAAAAAATGTTAAATATAATACATATATTTTTGTTTTTTTTACAATATTTTGTTTTTAAATTTTAAATTCAATGTCAAATATAATAATTAATTAAGATAATAATTTTAATTTATATTGATCAAGATTCTAATTTTAATTTACAACAATCAACATTATAATTTAAATTTTATTATTTCTTAAAAAACTTAATATCATTATTAAATTACATATTTGTTCACTACTTTGTATAGAAAAATAAAAAATTTTATTTTTATTTTTAACACTAATAATACATGCATGATTTTAATTTGGGGATTTATAAAATTAAAATGAATTTTTATTTTTTCAGGTAAT